CACACACACACACACACACACACACACACACACACGCACACACGCACACACGCACACAAGTTTAAGGATTGCCAAATAAATAAGCAACTCGAATGAGTGGCGTATCGATCATTCAATTTGGTCCATATCTTCAATGTGAGAGAGAGCATGAGACGGATCCAGAGCTCTGTGCACTGTATAACTGTACAAGCCTCAATGGCTGCGAAGCAGTGGGTCACGGTCGATGGATGAATAATTGACCCCCCAAATGTTATCTTGCTACAGTCTTACACAGGCCTTGTAGGTGCTGTACATTTCAGACTTGACCTTAAGGAAAGCTCAAACGACAAACAGCAGTGTTTCTCAAAGTGGAGTTTGAGCACCACCAGTTGTATGCGGGTTCTCCCTAGTTGTAAATGAAAGAATCACATCAATATGATGATATACAAACATAAACATATAGCTTGTAGCTATGCCTACAGCTCATTTAAACTTTATTTTTACTGTATTGTTTTTCTTTAAGTACAGTACATTCTTTAAGTTCAGTTATGTTATATTTAAATTTATTATATTTGCATTTAATTGTCAGATGTTTTTTCTTATAGTTATACATTCAATTTTTAATGTGTATGTGCAAGAGATTTTAAATTTAATTGGGTATTTTTTTCTGAATTTCCTGTATTTAAAAGAGAAGCCAAGTAAAAAAATGTTCTTGACAATAATGTATTCTATGTGGCCCACTAGTGAAAACACGGCCTTTAGGGAATATAAATTAAACAGTAAATCCAGCCTTTTTTTTTAATCCATTTCAGGCCCTTTTGCCGCTTGCTGTCGACTGAAAATGACATCACAGTTTTGCTCAAGGCTCAGGTAATGACCAATCTTAGCTCAGCTTGCAAACGTCACCAAACATGACCAAACTCAGAAAACATGTGAGCCGGAGTATGCTGAAAAAACCCACACAGGAATGGAGAGAACATGGGGTTAGGGTTAGGGTTAGGATAAGGTTTAGGGTTAGGGGGTGAGGGTTAGGTTTAGGCTTAGTGGGTTAGAGGGTTAGGGTCAAGGTTAGGGTTAGAGGTTACTGTTAGGGTAAGGGTCAGAGGTTAGGGTAAGGGGTTAGAGTTGGGGTTAGGTTTGGGAGTTAGGGTTGGAGGTTAGGGTTGGGGATTAGGGGTTGGGGTTAGGGTTGGGATTGGGGTTGCGGGTTAGGTTTGGGGGTTAGCGGAGACGGTTAGGATTAGGGGTTAAGGGTTAGTGGTGAGGGGTGAGGGTTTGGGTGAGGGTTAGGGGTTAAAGTTTTGGTTAGGTTTAGGGTTGGGGTTAGGGTTAGGGTTGGGGATTGGGGTTGGGGGTTAGGTTTGTGGGGTAAGGGTTAGGGTTGGGGTTAGGTGTTGGGGTTCGGGGTGGGGCTCGGCTTGGGGGTTAGGGGTTAGGGTTGGGGGTTAGGTTTGTAGTTAGGTTTAGGGGTGGGGCTAGGCTTGGGGTTTAGGGTTGGGGGTTAGAGTTGGGGGTTACGGTTGGGGGGTAGAGGTTTGGGTTGGAGTTAGGTTTGGGAGTTG